CCAGAACTTTTAAAAAAAATAACCAATATACAAATGTGGGCAGTAACAGGGGGAAAAAACAATAGAAATGTAAAACAGTCAAGAAATCAAGAAATATGACTGCATTAGTAAGTCCTTACATATTAATAATTATGCTAAATTTAATGTTTTGCACTCACAAATCAAAAGGCACAGAATGGTTGGATGGATAAAAAACAGCACTCAACAGTATGCTGCCTAAAACAGACTTACTTTAAATTTAAGCACAGGAGGCTTACTTTATTTTTATTTATTTATTTATTTATTTATTTATTTATTTATACATGATTATTTTTAAATTTGTCTTTATTGTTGAAAGTATTACAGATGTCCCCTTTTCCCCCTCATGCCCACTTCTATCCCCTCCCCAGGCCTTCACCCTACTATTGTCTGTGTCCAGGGGTTATGCATATATGCATGTAAGTTCTTTGGTTGATCTCTTCCCTCTCCCACTTTTTTAATCCATTCATTTGCTGATGGGCACTTGGGCTATATTTTTTATTGTTCATGAAGTGCATGAGCAGATTAATTGAACCCAAGGTTGAGGTTGTTGGAACCTCCTATTGATAGCTGGTCAGTCAAAAGCACAGATGACACTCAAGCTAAATAGTAACAGAATTAAATTGAATTATATGACATTCCGCTGGTGTTGCAGAATTGAGCAGTGGTATGGAAACCACACACTCCCATATTTAAAATTGTCCCAGAATTCTTATTAACATAAAGAATGAGAAAATATTTTCAAACGATATATTGGATAAGAAGCTCATAATCATAATACATATAAATTCATATAACTCAGTAATGAAAAGAAAGTCAGACAAAAAATAGACAGTGGAATTGAATAGAATTTTTTTCTTCAAAAACGGCATGTAGGAGGGAAAAAATGGCGGCTGAATAGGCAGACGTGTTCTGAGCCCTATCCCGGAAAAGATAGAAGGAGCATCTAAATCGAATTACATCCACCAAGGAATTGGTGAAGTAGACACAGCTAGTGAGACAATTCACAGTCTGGAGAGGCAGAAGACACCTGGATAATGGGAGAATTGGGGATCTGGGCTGGGGGGAGTCACAAGACCACTGAGCCGAGAGGGTCAGAAGGAAGCTGCACTGCACCAAGGCCACATCCCTTGGGGTCAGACGTAACATCCAACTGTGGAAAGGAAATTCACAGGGCTGCTGGAAGCAGGGGATTCTAGATCTAAGTCCACAGCCGCCAGAGGCTGAGAGCAGAAAGGCAACCTGAAGAACCACCCAAACTGCATGGTGCTGGTGGGGAGATAAACTCACAGTTGTGTGGTTGTTATGCTTATGTTTGGTCTTTGTTTTTATTCTCTAAACCTAGTTCATAGGACCTTTTAAATACAAACACTCACCCGTGGCTGAGGTGCATGTGGAGGTGCGGACTTATGGAGTCTGGGCAGAGGCTGTGGAGGAGAGAGGGTCAGGAAAAGGTGACCAAGAATCTGGCATTGAGACATTCCTGATCCTCCGGACCTAAGCAGCCATTTTTCTCCTGAAAAGCCAGCCCCTCCCAGCAGCCTCAAGACAGCTAATACAGCCACAAACAGACTACACCCTGAGCTGTACAAAGGACACAAAAACTCTGAATAGCCCCAAAGAGCCCTCAGGGACTGGGTTTGAAGAGAGGCCTTTCATTCCCAGAAAGCAATAAAGTACTCTCCTCATATATAGCCCTGTCAGAAACAGACACTTGAGAGATTAATATTGACAGCAGGCAGACAGGCAAAGTGGGCAGATTAGCCCTGCCTGCTTGCAGCCGAGGCTGTGTAGATAGACACAAAAGGAGCAGTGGATGGCTTGGAATTCCAACACAGTGCTGACTACCAAACAAGAAACTGAGAAGTGGCAGACAGAACAGAAGAGTGGGGTCTTAAACCAGCCCCCATGCAGCATTAAAATGAATGACACTTCACTTTTTTATTTTACTTTATTTTATTTTTTTATCTTTTATTTTAAAAAGTTTTTATTTATTTATTTATTTATCTTTCTTCATTAGTCAATTTTTATGCTTATTTTTCCTCTCCTCTCTTGCTCTCTTCTTCTCCTCATTGTTTAATTAGTTTCACTCACTAAACTCAAGTCTATCTGCTCTCTTCTCTATTCTCCTTTTCAAAAAGTGGATGAATAAATGAATAAATAAAGTTTTTAAAAATTATTTTTGTTTTATCTTTTAATTACTTATTTATTTACTTATTTTTATTTTATCTATTTTATTTATTTATTATTTTTTGAATTTTTCCCTCTTTGTTTTCTTCTTATCCATTCATCTCTTTCTACATCCTCTATACTGAACTAAGGTCCTCCCCATATTCATTCAATTCCTTAACATTACTTTCTGTATATAAGTTCTGCCTCTACAGATTATGCTCCCTCTTTTTTCTGGGTGTTTGTTGTTTGCATTTTTTGGTTTATCAGTTTGTTCTGTGGTGTTTTCTCCCCATATGTTTTTTCTTTCTTTATCTTCTTTTTCTTTTGTCTCACTTTTTTTTCCTTGATATCATTTTTGGTCTCTTTTATCTCTCCTGATTCTCTTTTCTCTGGTGGTCACTTATATTGGGGTTATTGGTGTCGTGAGTACATTTGTGTTTTGCTATCTTTCTGTTGTGTCTTGGCAAGTTGTATTTTGTGCTATTCGGACAACATGGTAGAGAGCAAGCCACATAACCAGACACCCTGAAGGAGACTCCATTCATGAATGGGACAATAACACTCAAGACCCAACTATACCAAGAGAATGCAAATATCCCAAATAGGGGCATCCCTAGATTACCCAGTCCAGAAGACAAGAAAGATTGCACCACTGGGTCCCACAAAACATCTACTATATAATAAAAACACAAAACATCTGGGTAGCATAGCAGTTTGATCTAATAAATAGAAACAATCACAAAGGAGTACAAAAATAGGGAGACAAAGACACAACCCTCATTCAAAATAAAAGGAGGAATCACCATAAAAAGAAATAAACAAAATGGAGGCAAGCAATTTGTCAGAGAAAGAATCCAGAGCAATGGTCCTAAGGACACTGAAAATGATGGAAGACAAATTCAACATGTGTCAGAATCAAGAGGAAATGAAGAATGATATAGCTACAATAAAGAACCCAATGGAAAGTTTTAACAGTATACTAGAAGAAGCTGAGGACTGCTATAGTGACTTAGAAGACAAGGTAGAAAAAAAAAACCCAAGAAGAGCAACAACTTGCCCTAGCTTGTTTGGCTCAGTGAATAGAGTGTCGGCCTGCAGACTGAAAGGTCCCAGGTTTGATTCCAGTTAAGGGCACATGCCCAGATTGCAGGCTCGATCCCCAATGTGGAGTGTGCAAGAGGCAGCCAATCAATGATTCTCTCTCATCATTGATGTTTCTATCTCTCTCTCCCTCTTCCTTCTGCTCTGAAATCAATAAAAACATATTGTTTTTAAAAAGAAGAGCAGCAACTGGAAAAAATAAAATAAAAAGCAGGAGGAGAGTTTAAGGGAACTTTGGGCAACATTAAATGAAGTGACATACACATTATAGGTGTTCCAGAAGAAGAAGAAGCTTATATAAAGCCTGTTTGAAGAAATAATGACAGAAAACTTCCCTGAATTGGGGATGAAAAAATCACACAAGTGAGGAAGCACAGAAAGCCCCTAACAAGATGAATCCAAAATGAGTCACACCAAGACACAGCATAATTAAAATGGCAAACATTAAAGACAAAGAAAGAATCTTATGGGTAGCAAGAGAGAGACAGAAAGTTACCCCCACAGGATCTCCCATTAGATTATCAACTGATTTCTCAACAGAAACACATCAGGCCAGAAAGGAGTGGCATGAAGTATACAAAATAATGAAAAGCAAGGGACTGAATTCAAGATTTCTCTGTCCAGCAAGGCTATCATTCTAAATTGAAGGTGAAATCAGGACCTTCGTAGACACAAAAAAGAGGGAAGAAGAAAGGAAGAAAGAAAGAAAGAAAGAAAGAAAGAAAGAAAGAAAGAAAGAAAGAAAGAAAGAAAGAAGAAAAGAAAGAAAAGAAAAGAAAAGGCTAAAAGAGTTTATTACCACCAAACCAGTAATGCAAGAAATCCTAAAGGGGCTGCAGTAAGGAGAAGAAATAGAAAGACAGCAAGAAACACAGGCATAAATAATAAAAATGGCAATAGAAAGAAATACCTATCAATAATAACCTTAAACGTAAATGGATTAAATGCTCCAATAAAAAGACATAGGGTAGCTGAATGCTTAGAAAACATAACTTATATATCTGCTTTCTACAGGAAGAAAGAAAAGACTCAGAATAAAAGACTCACACAGACTAAATGTGAAGGTATAGGGAAAAAAATTCTTCAACCAAATGGAAATGGAAAAAAAAAAGCTGGAGTAGGAACACTTATATTTGACAAAATAGACCTCAAATAGAAGGTCATAACAAGAGATAATGAAGGCCACTTCATAATAATAAAGGGCTTGATACAATAAAAGTACATAACTCTATAAACATATATGCATCCAATGCAGGAGATTCCAAATACATAACAACAACTTCTAGAAGTATCAAGGGAGAGAACAACAGCAATGCAATCATAGTAGGTGATTTACATACCCCATTGACATCACTGGACAAGTCTTCTAGACAAAAATCATCAAGGAAACAGCAATCCTAAATTAATCACTACATCTGATGGAACTAATTCACATCATCAGAATATTTCACACCAAAGCTACAAAATATACATTCTTCTCAAGTGCATATGGGACATTTTTAAAGATAGACCACATGTTAGGACACAGGCTAAGTCTCCACAAACTAAATAAGATTGAAATAATATTAAACATCTTCTCAGATCACAATGCCATAAAATTAGAAATCAACTACAATAAAAACATTGAGAAACAATCAAACCCATGGAGGCTAAATATCATGTTATTAAACAATTAATTGGTTACCAAAGAGATAAAAGAAGAAATAAAAAACATCAAGGAAATAAATAACAATGAAAATACGACAATCCTAAATCTATGGGACACACTGAAAGCAATCCTGAGAGGGAAGTTCATAGCACTACCAGCCTCTCTCAAAGAACAAGAAAACTTGTGATAAGTTATCTAACCCTACAGCTTAAATAATTCGAAAGGAAACAACAAAAGAAGCCCAAAGTAAGTAGAAGGAAGGAAATAATAAAGATCAGATCAGAAATGAATGACATAGAGACCAAAAAAGCAATACAAAGGATCAATAAAACAAAGATCTGGTTCTTTGAAAGGATAAATAAAATTGATGAACCTCTATCTAGGCTTACAAAAAAAAAAAAAGATAGAGAACCCAAATACACAAAATCAGAAACAAAAGAGATGAAATAACAACAGACCCCACAGAAATACAAAGGATCATAAAAAATACTTTGAATGACTTTATTCCAACAAATGGGACAACCTGGATGAAAATGACATATTTCTAGAAAAATACTACCTTCCAAAACTCAATCACAAAGAATCAGAAAACCTGAATAGGCTGATAACTACTGATGAAATTGAAGCAGTAATAATAATAAAAAACTTCCAGCAAACAAAGCCCCTTGTCTGGACGGATTCACAGGGGACTTTTACCAAACATTGAAATAAGAAAAATTGTCCTCAAACTATTCCAAAAAATGCAAGAGGAAGGAACACTTCCAAGCTTTCGATGAGGCTAGAATTACTCTAATCCCCAAACCAGATAAAGACACTACAAAACAGGCCAATATCCTTGATGAACATAGATACTAAAATCCTCAACAAAGTATTCCAAATCGGATCCAGCAATACATTAAAAATATAATACCCAACTGGGATTTATTGTGGGATGTAATACATACATAGATGCAAGGCTGGTACAGTATCTACAAATCAATAAATGTGATACACCAAAATAAAAGATTGTGAGACTAAAATCACATGATTATATCAATTGATGCAGAAAAAGCATTTGACAAAATCCAACATCCTTTTTTGATAAAAACTCTCAGCAAAGTGGGAATAGAGGGATCATACCCCAACATAATAAAAGCCTTTTGTGAAAAACCTATAGCCAACATTATACTCAATGGGCAAAAACTAAAACTATTTTCCCTAAGAACAGGAACAAGACAGGAATACCCACTTTCATCACTCCTATTTGACATAGTACTAGAAATGCTAGCCATAGTAATAAGACAAAAAAAGGTAATAAAAGGCATCCAAATTGGAAAAGAAATAAAACTAATTATTCACAGATGGCATGATATTGTACATAAAAAACCCTAAAGACTCCATCAAAATACTACTAGACTTAATAAATGAATTCTGCAATGTAGTAGGATACAAAATTAGCACCCAGAAATCTATGGTTCTTTTATACACCAATAATGAACTCACAGAAAGAGAAACTAAAAACCAATCCCATTTACCATTGCACCAGAAAAAATTAAGATACCTAGGAATAAACTTAACTAAGGAGGTAAAAGACCTGTACTTGGAAAACTACAGAATATTGAAGAAAGAGATAGAGGAAGACATAAACAAATGAAAGAATATACCATGTTCATGGATTGGTAAAATCAACATATTAAAATGTCCATACAAACTGTGGAAACCATGATAGGGGTACCCGATAGTCAAGGCTAATTAAATCACAGAGGCCTTGTTGTCAATACACCAGGCTGTCCAAGACCATTATTTGACTAGGCTAAGATACATAGATTCAAGGCCACAGTGATCTCCTGGGTTATAGAAGCTGTTCCTTTCTATAACCCAAAATGATTGATGGTTAACTATTGGCAAGAAGCCTTCTTTGTCTCTGGAATAATATACAGCTTATTCACTGGCTAGTGTGAGAAGCTGAGTCAGTAGGCACAGAGAATATAACTTCTATGTACCTCTATGATGTGAGGCAGTGAGTCTAGGGGGCAACATGCAATTGCTCAGATAATAGCTGCAGGTACAGGGACTGCTACTGCTCTGTGGGAAAGATATGTATTTACCAGCTGGTTTATGGTTGCTTGCTTGTATGGACTTTGCTGTAAATAACTGTTTTATCTGATGGCTATATGAACACTGGCTTCTGCAATAAAGACTCATTCTTATATACCCACAACTTCTCATGGCTTCTCTGTCTAAGACCCAGCATTCAAGGAGGTCCAGCCCTAGGCAAAGTGGCTCAGACCCAACACCTGTAACTAGTGAGCAAAGGTAAAGGAGGAACTTGGACTAAGTTCCCAACAGTTAGTACAGTGGGAAGGGTTCGAGAAGGACCTGCCCTGGCATAGTCGGGAAGAATTTAGAAGAATATATGAACTCAGAACAACTCAGAGCATGGAAGGGGGGCAGTTAGGGGCAACCAGGTTGGCAGGGGGCAGTAAGAGGTGACCAGGCCAGTGGGGGGCCAGTTAGGGGTGACCAGGCTGGCGAGGGGTGCAGTTGGGGAAAACCAGGCCAGCAGGGGGGACAGTTGAGGGCGATTAGGCTGGCAGGGTGGGCAGTGAGGGGTCACTAAGCTGGTGGGGGGGCAGTTGCAGGCAACCAGGCAGGCAGACATGTGAGCGATTTGGAGCCAGCAGTCCAAGATTGTGAGAGGGATGTCTGACTGCCGGTTTAGGCCATATCCCCAGGATCAGGCCTAAACCAGCAGTCAGACATCCCCCAAGGGGTCCCGGATTAGAGAGGGTGCAGGCTGGGCTGAGGGGACACCCCACCCCCGTGCACGATTTTGTGCACTGGGCCTCTAGTATCAAAATGAAAACCTTCTGCACAGCAAAAGAAACCATCAACAAAACAACAAGAGAGCCTACTTCATGGGAGAACGTATTTGTCAATGATAAATCTGATATGGGGTTAATCTTCAAAATTTATAGGGAACTCATACAACTTAACAAAAGGAAGGTAAACAATACAATTTAAAAATGGGCAAATTACCTAAACAGACACTTCTAGAAAATCGACATACAGAAGGCCAAGAGGCAAATGAAAAGATGTTCAAAGTCACTAATCATCTGAGAGATTCAAATCAAAACTACAATGAGGTACCACCTCACACTTGTCAGAATGGCTACCATAAACAAATCAACAAAGGACAAGTGTTTGTGAGGATGTGGAAAAAAGGGAACCCTTGTGCACTGCTGGTGGGAATGCCGACTGGTGCAGCCTCTGTGGAAAATAGTATGGAGTTTCCTCAAAAAATTGAAAATGGAGCTCTCATTTGACTTAGTGATTCCATTTCTAGGAATATATCCCAAAAAATCAGAAACACCAATCAGAAAGAATATATGCACCCCTATGTGCATTGTAGTGCAATTTATAATAGCTAAGATTTGGAAACAGCCAAAGTGCCCATCAGCAGATGAGTGGATAAATAAAAAACAACAACTGTTATACATCTACACAATGGCATTCTACACAGCTGTAAAAAAGAAAGAACTCTTACCATTTGCTACAACCTGGAAGAATCTGGAGAGCATTATACTATGCAAAAAAACCAGTCAGAGAAAGATAAGTATTGCATTATCTCACTCATATGTGGAATATAATGAACAACATAAACTGATGAACAAAAATAGATCCAGAGACACAGAAGCATTAAACAGGCAAAGACCTGGGTTGGGGTCTGGGGCCAGGCTGGGAGTAGTCAATGGGAGAAAAAGAGGCATATGTAATATTTTTCAACAATAAGGGTTTAAAAAAATAAATAAAAGGCAGAGAGAACAGACTGTATATAAACCCATACAAACCCAACAATGTATGCTGTTTACTGAGGCACATCTTAAATAATGGGAAAAAGAAAAATTGAAAATAATGTACACTTAAAACTAATACAAAATAATATTAAATTTAAAGTATACTTTTAAATTAAAAATAAAAATAATCCATGAAAAATTTGCAAAGCAAACACTATGTAAAAGAAAGCTGAACTAGTTATACTCCACACAGGAAAAATGAGTCACTCAAGAATGACTATTAGAGATAAAGAGAAGTACTTTAAAAATATATATGTACATTCCACCAGGAAGGTAAAATAATTATTTTTAAAATTTTTATTAATTTCAGAGAGAAAGGGAGAGGGAGCGAGAGATAGAAATATCAATGATGAGAAAGAATCATTGATCCTCTGCCTCCTTCATGCCCCCTACTAGGGATTGAGCCCACAACCTGGACATGTGCCTTTGATCAGAATTGAGCCCAGGACCCTTCAGTCCACAGGCTGACGCTCTATTCACTGAGCCAAACCAGTTAGGGCATTAAAATAATTCTTAATAACATAGGTTCAAAATCTCTAAAATAAATGTTGTGAGAATTAAAAAGATAAACAGACAAATAAATGTTAACACATGCCTCTCAGTAATTGATAAACAGATCTGCAATCAGTAAGAATCTAGAAGGCTTGAATTCCATGATAAAAAATTGGGTCATATATAAATTTACCATATTCTAGCCAATTTTAATGTATAGTAACCATAAAAACTATATTCTCTTACTCTGGGCTAATTAAGTGAAAACTAATTAAAAATGAGAAAACCCCCACATCACTATGAACTAAGCAATGCACTTCCAAATAATCCATAGATTGATAAATTAACTACATTGAAAATTAGGAAGTATTTTGAGCTGGTAAGAATGGAGAAGCCCCTAGCAAAACTGAAGAAGTAAAATATAAATAGGAACAATAACAACAATAATATGAGTAACAGCAACAAAAACATTAGTTAATGTTACCTAACACATTAATCATTTAATATTTTCCAGGTTCTGTACTAATAGCTATACATGTGTTATTTTGGGGGTTCTCAACACTATCTATTAGAATCAAATAGTGAGCTCTTATAAAGTGATGTTCAGACTCCATCTAGACTGATTAAATGAAAATCTCTGCAAGTGAGTAGCAGTCATTGTCATTTCTGTAAAAGGACCTTAGTTGATCTTAATATGCAGGCTGGATGCAGAACTATTGCATTATATCATGTAATCCTTACAGCAACCTTATGAGGTACTACTATTATCAATGCCTTTATTTTTATAACTGAAAACTGAGATAAAAAGAGGCTAAATAACATACTCTGGGTTA